TATATAATGTACAGTGACACAATTTGTTTTAAAAATTAAAGAAAAAAAATATCAATAAAATTGTTGAGTCGGCCCATTTTTGGCGGGTCGGTCGGGTGAGGGCAAACAAACAATATTTTTATCATGGCCTCATGGCTCTGACACGCTGGCACGGTGCCAATGCCGCTTACCTGCAGCCAGGACTCGAACACCTCTCGTTTAGATTCGGTGAAATCCATCGTCTTGGTGCCGAACGCTCTCTTCGCTGGAAGCTGCAGATCATCCAACCATCCTGTAAAACACGTGCGGGAGACATCGTTAGTCAACCGAATGTAATTACATGTTGACTAACAGTGGCTCCCGCGTGTGTGTGCGTGTTTCTACATGAATGTAATATGTAGAAACACGCACACACACGCGGCAGCCACTGTTAGTTAACATTACATTCATGTAGAAACACGAGTGCACGTACACACGTGGCACATTAAACACACACCCGAATACGTGTGGACGCAACACACATACATATTCACGCACATACATGCATTCACGCACACACAAGCATACATGCACGTACGCACGCGACCCACACGCACACACACGAATACGTGTGGACGCTTCACACATGCATTCATTCACGCACATACATATTCACGCACACACATACATACACCTACACAAGCATACATGCACGTATGCGCGCAACCCACACGCACACACACGAATACGTGTAGACGCTTCACACATGCATTCATTCACGCACACACATATTCACGCACATGCACACAGACGCACGCACACACAGAAGGCAACAACCGTGAGTCAATGCGATGAAATATTACAGAAAGACTGCTCAACAGGCAAACCGACTACATGACACAAAAGACTGACAAACTAACGAAATGACGATGGTAATAGCATATTTTGTAACTCACCGGGACCGTGGAATTCCACTAGCTTGCCTTCCAACACATAGAACTCATTGTATCTCCGCTCAACTGTCCAATGAGAATCCTCCATGTCATCTGCCAATGGAAAAATATTTACTACTTTAGCCTCAAACCAAAGAGCTTATAATGATATTATTGATAATTATTATAATTAATATATTAATGATCTTATCATTATAAGCTCTTTGCTCAAACTACAAACCACATGTTGCTAGTAACTGAGTAATACTTGATGTTGATGAGTATAGAAACATATTAAAGGTGAACATGAGTCGAGCTCCCAGAATTAAAAGAGCAGTTAAATGATAAAAAACAGCATGTAGCATAAATAAATAAATAAAGCCTAAATAACAATTTCTACCATTCGCTATCAATGATGAACAAATTAGAACTAATTGTAAAAACTTGTTGTGTTCATTATATAGCCGATGCCATTGTTTTCTTCTCGCTGACAGATGGCAGCACTTACTTTTGTTGCAGACATCTTAAGATCACATAAAACTCATCTTCCCTTCAATGTACCCCCCCCCCACCAAAGTGACCAATGGTAACAGCACTGCACTGTCATTGAAGACATCTTGAGGCAATCTTCTAAATCATGTTCCCTCCTAACCGCCACCTAGTGGCAACAATGCTTACTGCTATTGCAGACATCTACCGACAACCTTCTAAATTTACGTTACCTCCTGACCGCCCCCTAGCAGTGGACGGTGGAAGCACTTACTGTCCACGTTCCCTCGTAACCGCCCCCTAGCGGTGAATGGTGGAAGCACTTACTGTCCACGTTCTCTCGTAACCGCCCCCTAGCGGTGAATGGTAGAAGCACTTACTGTCCACGTTCTCTCGTAACCGCCCCCTAGCGGTGGACGGTGGAAGTACTTACTGTCCGCGTTCCCTCGTGACCGCCCCCTAGCGGTGAATGGTGGAACCACTTACTGTCCACGTTTCCTCGTAACCGCCCCCTAGCGGTGGATGGTGGAAGCACTTACTGTCCACGTTCCCTCGTAACCGCCCTCTAGCGGTGGATGGTGGAAGCACTTACTGTCCACGTTCCCTCGTAACCGCCCCCTAGCGGTGGATGGTGGAAGCACTTACTGTCCACGTTCCCTCGTAACCGCCCCCTAGCGGTGGA